CCAGGGCACCTTCCACTGGCCACTCGGAGGTCCTGCAACATGTCAAAGTAATATATTGCTAATTAACCCGCGCTGCTGATAATGGCAAACATCTCCAAGAGCTTCTGCTGAAGCGTGGTGACTGTGCATTTTTTGATTGTAAACATGGCAGCCAAATTTGCACACAGCCATGTCCCGCCTCCCCCCCAAAAAAACCCCACAGCCGCTGAGTCAAATGGTTGATTTTTATGAACGTTCTAGGAATTTTCCGAAACTCAGCATTAATTCTACTACTAATAATAATATCTTTTGCCTCGGACCCGCGACCTTGTGTCCCAGAGGCAAGAGCGCTACTAACTCAGCGAAGGTGACACGCAAACGGTCCTTAAGGTTGTGGCTACGGAGAGGTTTAGGTGTCGAGTGAAACCCATGATAAAAATGGGACAGGATCACTTGATACTCAGCGTTGACCACGCACGGTCTAAGGAACAGAGAACACGCACCTCGATTGATCCAGATCCAAGGTGGAGCGGGCTGACACAGACGGCTAAGACAGAACAACTTGGCAACACTGCTAATGGAGCCCAACCACAACATGAGGCATTAAATATTTGTTCTGTTACACAACCATCTTCTTCCCCACTTCCCTTACACATTCCTGCCACCTGTGAGATTTACAACACTGTGCAGTGCAGCAGCGTTTCGCAGTTTGGTTGCGAGCGACCACAGTATTCCGAGAACGCTGGAGACAAACAAAGGCAAAGAAGTGTGAACACATACTTTCAAATCGAAACAGTCCTTGGCACGGAAAACTCTGTCTCTCTGCCAACAGAAACCAGGCGGACTATCGGGAGAAGGGAAACGGGGATAATTCCAAATCTCGCAGAAGCATCCGTTCCGCCCACAGAACAAACAGTCAATCCGCTTGACAATATATCCTGTGAAGCGCTTCGAGACGTCTCAATATAGGCGCTGCATCGATTACAAGTATTATTTATTATACTGCTTCGTCAGATGACCTGAAATGGCCTTTATTTGATGTGCCTGGGTCCATCGTGGCTTGAGTCTTTAAGAGAAAGCAGTCTCAGGGCTAAAAAAGGTGAAATTTGGAGTCTCTGGTGTGTGTGTGTGTGGTGTGTGTGTGTGTGTGTGAGATCTGTTTAAAGGGGTAGATTGAAGCTACGCCAGAGGTCCGGCAGGTGGCGGTAGAGGTCAGTAGATTCTCTCCCACACTTATTTTTTAGGAAGGTTTGGGATTTTCGGAGGGGGAAAAAAAAAGCCCTTCAGTCATCGGAGACTGACTCTACACTCCCTCTGTTTATGAGGCATTTCAGAGCGTTTGTTATCCGGAAAATTGCTGGAATCAGTCCGAACCTACATTTGGGTAACAGCGCCTTCCGCATCGGGAGGACTTAGTAGTAGGAGTAATAATAATCCGTGCATTTGATAGAGCGTCCTGTCGGGTCTTCGAGACGGCTCAAACACAGCAGCCAATTGCGTAAAGCAGTGTCCCACAAACAGTCGTGGATTGTGTGACCACGTTTTTTTTTTAAAAAAAGGGATTATTACCCCAGAAAGCGATCTTCCAATTAACTAACAACCGGCTTGCTACTTATTACTAGGTAAATCGAGGCACATGGAGCAAGGAATCGAACCCAGGTCTTCTCTCTTGCGAGGCGAGTGCTCTAACCACTGCATTTGATATAAGCGCTTTTCACGTCTTCTGGACGTTTCAAAACGCTTCACAGAATAGACTGTAAAGTGAATTGACTGTATATCTGTGGGCGAAATGGATTGTAAATCAGTCCCAGACGGAAGCTCGCATTGCCATTTCAGTCACCGCTAGTTATCTCCAGCTTTAACATCTGAGCAGTTGGAGCTTGTTGCTAATGGGCTGTTGGTGTGAAGCTTCGTGTCTCCTCAGCTCTGTCTAGTGTGATCCTTAGAGTAACACCTGGCGATGAACACGCTTGTTAAGCGGGGGAGTAATTAGCGTGTGGTGCCAGCCCCAGGAGCAATGATTAGACTGGCAAGTGTGTGTGTGTGTGTGGGTGGGGGGTGGAGAGGGGGGTAGTACACGACAACCTCACGTAGCATTTTCCAGGAATTTCCTGCAAAATCTATCTGGGTCACATTTCCTCTCCCGATTCTCTGAATGGTTCCATTCCCTCCTCTCCCTCCACCCACTCCCACCCCCCATGTCCTGGCTGACAATTCCCCCCCCCCCCCCATTCCCCCTGATAAAAAAACGGTCGTTCACTTCACAGCAGTTTGGGGGATTTCGCTGTGCACAAATTGGCTGCCATGTTCGCCTGCAAAAGCACAGTCACTACGCCTGACAGGAACACCGTGAAACACTTTGAGATGTGATAAAGTGCTGCGTCAAACAGTAATAATCCTTGCATTTGATACAGTGCCTTATCACGTCGTTGAGATGTCTCAAAGCACTTCAGAATATACTGTAAAGTGAATTAACTGTATTTTTTGGGGGCAAAACACAAAGATAATTATTATTAACATCAGAAACCTGTGCCCGTCAGTAAAATGAGGCCACCGGTAGACACCTTGTCACACGCATTTCCTGTGATGACTCCTTTCCTTTTCCGCAGTGATGAATTGCTGGTTCAACTCGAAGCTAAACTTAGATCCATTCAGACACGAGGCCCTGAACCAACCTGTCCGCTCCCTCCGCTTGGCAAGCACCGGCCTGCTCCGTGTTCCCAGCGCTGCTCCCACCTGCTGGAGACCTTCTGCCTCACCAGCCCCCCACCCTCCTTGCCTCCTTCAAGGCCCATCTTAAGACCTTCCTCTTTGACCGTCCCTTCGCTCATCTTCCCACTTTCACCGCTTCTCACCCTCCACCCCTCCTGACTCCAACCCCCACCTCAGGCGCACACCCTTGACTGTACATCCAATGACCTCCTGACATGAAAGATGCTGTGTAACGGTGATTCGCGTGTTTGGTTCTTCACCTGTTCCCATGCTCACTCACTTCTCGTGTGTGTGTGTGTGTGTGTGGGGGGGCGTTGTGTGTGGGGGGGGTGTTGTGTGCGCGTGTGGTGGGGGGGCGGTGAGTGTGTATGGGGGGGGTGTGTGTGGGGTTGGTGTGAGTGTGTGTGGAGGGGGTTCCTGTGAGTGTGCGTGTGGGATTGGTGTGAGTATGTGTGGAGGGGGGGGGCAGTGAGTGTGTGAGGGGGGGGGGTGGAGTGTGTGTGAGTTTGTGTTTGCTTGTGGATAGAAGCTGCCCCAGCTGAGCTACACAGAGATTGAAAGGTTATCAGCTGTGACGGACGGGGTGACGAAAGATACATTAACCTGGTGTCTCTCGCTGAGATCTCCAGGCTGGTTTGGTTTCCCTTCCCCTGGTCTGGGACGAGTGCCCAATCCGCACAATAAATGAGTGATTCACACCCGAGTCTGTTCGGAGGAACTTCAAGCTATGACACAAACAAAAGGAAGCCACCTCACCTGTTTATTCATACACATCACTGGGTGTTGTTACTGTCATGAGGAAGGTGCGCAGGTGAGTAATTTCGCTGACAGTTCAACAGTTTAATTGGTTACCAACAGTGACTGTCCGCAACAACAACAACACTGACAACCATCCTGCCCCAGCCTTGCCCACAGTTACAGTCACTCCACAGCGATTGCCGGGGAAATGCTTTGCGGTATTTTGACCCTCCACCAAATTTGGTAGGTTATTTATTTAGTTATTTTTTTTTAACGATCTCAAAAAGAAATAATATAACGTGGTCGCTCAGTCCAAGGCAGCTTGCGGGGACGCTGCTGTGCGCAATTGGCTGCCGCGTTTCGTCCACAAAATACAGTCAATTCACTTTACAGCGTATCCAGTGAAGCGCTTTGAGACGTCTCGAAGACGTGATGAGGCGCTGTATCAAATGCCAGGAGTATTATTAATATTATTATGAAAAAACACGAAGCAGACTGAGAGACGACTGACTGAATGTTGCTAACTGATTTACAGTTTCGGAAGAACCTGCCTTACAAAGCTGCTGGGCTCCATCCAGTCCCACCCTCTCGCTTCGGAGTCAGAAGTTTGTAGGTTCAACCTCCACATCGGAGACTTGGAAACGCACAGTCTAGGCCAGGGTTGGTCCAACCTTTTGGGGTTGCCGAGGCCCGGATGCCCTATTTGAGAAATATCCGCGGGCCCCAGAAGCAATTTCCCTTCCAGAAACATAAGGGTTATGGAGGGAGCGGGGGGGAGGGAGGGGGGCAGATGAAGTGGAGGGGGTGGGGGGACCTAGATGCGGCCTGCGGGCCAAAGTTGGACCACATGGCCTAGACTAAGCTCCAATGCAGTGCTGGGGACAATAATAATCCCTCCAAAACCAATAATAAATTGGTCATTTTCAATCTACGACTGTTTGTGGGACATTGCTGTGCGCAATTGGCTGCCGCGTTCGCCCACAAATATACAGTCAATTCACTTTACAGTGTGGTCTGTGAAGCACTTTGGGACGTCCTCTCGACGTGAAAAGCGCTATATCAAATGCAAGGATTATTATTATGCGTTGTATTGTCAGACACACCTCCCTTTGGATGAGTCAATAAACCAAGATCCCGTCTGCGCCTGTTCAGATCATTTTCAACTCAAAAAAGAGAAGGGAGTTTCTCTCCTGTTTCTTAACAGCTGTTTGTGGGGAAATTGCCGTGAGCTGGAGATCAGTTCATCTGCACAATACACAGTTTACAGTAAAAATCCTGCGAAGCGCATCGAGGAGTCCTTCCAGGACGAAAGGCAATACATCAAATGCAAGGATTCTTATCATTATTATTAGTTATTATTACCAAGAGAGCGATAGACAGAGAAATGTAGTTTTTTTGCTCTTTACAAAGGCCTCAACACCCAGTGTCTCAGAATTGGGCGTTTTGGTATCTGTTCAACGCAAATATCAAATGTGTTGGGACTCATTTAAAGGTGAACTGGCACAATCCAAGCTTCTTAAACCCATTAATATTTTTATGAACCCCGGATTTAATGGAGTGATATAACTTACCGAAGGCAGAGACCGCTGATGTTTGACGGTAGTTAAACTTGTTCTCTTGCCAACTTTTCTGGCCTTGTGGAAAAAAAAAAATTGCTAATAAAATTCAGAGCCCAGGCCCCTCGGTTTCTCGATGTTCAGTCTGAGGATAAGAATAAGTTAATTAAATGATTCCGCCTTGGCAGAGAACAAGATGGACAAATGCCAAGCCCCACAGGTGCTTATGCAGCAATGGGGAAAGAGTTTGTCGAGTGCAGCGTTTCATAATGCATTTCATTGTTACGACACCTGGGGGAATTTTCCTGTGTGTTTTTCGTGCAGCAAAGTCCAAACCTCCCACCATCTCCTCAACTACGGGTGATATCAGTGCCTCTACATGGCCTTTAGCTCCCTGTGAAGTATACTAACATCAATCTACATCAGCCAAAATTAGACCCCAGATAGCTCTCGTGTGTACGTGTGCGAATAGTTGACGTATCGCTTTCAATGTGGACTTTTTCTTTTGGTCAGCCGAGTGACCGGCTCAGGCGGAAACCCGTCATCGTGTAGCACCAGCTACCCGATAAGCGTTGTGTCAGCCTTGATAATGTGAGGTCAAAATCCCGACGTGGAGGGTGGGGCTTGAACCCACAATATTCTGACTCAAGAAGCTAGAGCGCTACAGTCAATTTAAACGCGCTGCACAACATGCTCGTGTGAAGCTGGTGGGTTTACTAAGGAGCAGCTGCTGTTTAGGCCTTTATTATCAATCAGCGTTGTCATAATGGAGTGGGAATTCCACCCGGATCCAATTAGGTGCAATTGCAGAGCGTCCAAAACTTGGCAACGTCCTAAAAGCGACATTCATTTTTGAAATGACACGGGGAAGATAATAATAATAAAAACAATAATAATCCTTGCATGTGATACAGCGCTTTTCACGTCGGGAGGACGTCCCAAAGCGCTTCACGGAACACACCGTAAAGTGAATTGACCGTATGTTTGTGGGCGAACGCGCACAACAGCGTCTGTCCCACAAACAGTCACGGATTGAAAATGACCAATTTATTGTTGTTGTTGTTGTTGTTGTGTTTTGGAGGGATGATTATTAGGCTGTGTGTGGAGTAAGGAAACTTGCCCGAGGTTCGGCCCGGCCTGGGACGGAGCTCAGGTCTCTCGCTCGCAAAGCGAGTGCTCTCACCGCTGAGCCGCACGAGACTCCACAAGATATCCAAGATGACATGAGCAGCTTCAAACGTTAAAGCCGAATTCAGCAATTTGGCCAAAGGTTACTATCTAAGTGGAGCACTCCCGGTTCAGACGGACGTTAAAGATCTCCCGCGATACTGTCCCCGGTGTCCTGGCTCCCCCGCCACCGGATGAAATCGGTCACTCACTTCACTTCACGGCTGTTTGTGGGACATCGCTGTGCGCAAATTGCGGTCGTGTTTGTGGAACGCAATACTACAACGCAGCTCAAACCGCTCGTCGCAATTTTTTTTTTGTATTTCTGTGCACGGTTGGGGTTGGGTGCAGGTGGGGGCGGGGGCGCGTGTAGTGACTGTTTTGCACTGGGGAGAGGAGAGTGAGTTTTGGGGGTTTAAGACGACAACACACGAGTTGCGATACACAAGTATTTGTACGCCTGTGGGGAAAAAGGTGGGGTGGTGGGGAGGATACCTGAGAAACAACCTGAACCTCAACACGCCCACAAAAGACACAGTCACTACACTTCACAGTGCATTCTGTGAAGCGCTTTGAGACGTCTGGAAGAGGTGATAAGGCGCCATATCAAATGCAAGGATTATTATTACTGTTCCTGGTCCATCACCCTGGTTGACACCAGTCAGTGTGTGACTCATTAATGTAGCACAAACTGCATTATAATGTTTACTGCACCTCAGAGAAAAAAGTCACAGTCCCTCCCCCCCCCTCTCTCTCTCCCCCCCCCCCCACCCGATGACTCACAGATCTTTCGGTTTTATTTAGCTCACATGGTGACAGAAATCTCGCTGCCCTCTGGCAGCCAGCTCGGTATCGAATGCTGACGATCAGGCTTCAGACCCTATCTGGTGTGACAAGAACAGGCTCACAGAGAAAGCTGTGGGCACACCGGGCTCCTTCCTTCCTTCCTTTCTCTCTCTCTCTCTCTCTCGCGCGCTCTCTCTCTGTGTGAGGAATGCTCACTGGGTGGAGCCTTGCATTCCTCAAATGCTCCGTGAGTTTTTAATCTGTCAGAGAGAACGTATTGGTGGTGCGTTCGTGGCGAGGGAGGCATCCAGTTTTGTTGTGCCCAATCTCAAATGCAGAGCCATCCCTTGTCAGTCGCTTTATATATAATAATAGTAAAGCTTGTATTTGATATTATGCCTTATCCCATTGAGACGTCTCAAAGCGCTTCACAGAATACTGTAAAATGGAGTGACTGTATATTTTGTGGGCGAAACGCAGCAGCCAATTGCACACAGCAGCGCCCCCACAACTAGATATGGATTCAGTGACCAAATTAGTATTTTGTTTTGTGAAAGGATTATTATCCCCGGAAAGCCATCCGCCAATCGACTAACAACCGGGTTCCTGCTTACCGCTAGGTAAATAGAGACTTTATCCACGATTGTGCACTTGCTCTTCCTGCCTTGGGTGCCACTATGAAAACTAACGATCCCTGCATGCCCTAGCAACTCTATTACTCTGATCTCCTCCTAAGCCACTCCTCGGCTAAGTTCACCCGGTTTACACAGGCTTGCCCCACACCCACCCACACACCTCTTTCGAAACTGCCTCCTCGACCACACCTTGGGTAACAACAATAATAGAAGCTTACACAAAATGACAAAAGCATCTCAGAGTGTTTGGCAAACAGCGAGATGTCTTGACATTATGGCCATTATATCCAACGCAAGGATCGTTAATCATAAAAGAAATACACAGGAGTAAAACACTGCAAAGAGAATGGCGTCACTCACACAACAACAGACGGTTTCTTTACGAACATGGATTGGATCAGATTAAAACATTTTTCTGATATCTGAGGCAGTGGCTGAGTTACAAAGTGCAGGGCAAGACGACAGGGAATTTGAGTAAAGGTGAAGTGATGCAATGGTGGATTGAAGAGGCGGGCACAAGTATTTCATACAGAGATCAATATCAGCAGCTTGCCATGGTGCAACAGGTTTACTAGAGCCTGTTCCGCCATTCTATATGGCTGATCTGTACCTCAACTCCAATTCCCCGCCCTTGCCCTATATCTCTTGATAACCTGACCTAACAAATATCTATCCACTTCAATCTTGACAGTTTGAATGGATCCAGCCATAATCCACAGCGTTTTGGGAGAGACCGAGAGAGTACCCTTTGTGTGAAACAATGCCTCCTGATTTCACGCTTAAATGCCTTTTCTAATTTTAACATTATGCCCTCCACCGTTCTGGATTCCCTCCCTCCCTCCCCACCACAACACCCCACCAGACAAAATAGTTTCTCTGCTGTTATCCTATTGAATCCTGTTATTATATTAAAAACTTCAATTAGATCACCCCTCAACCTTCTAAACTCAAGGGAGAGAATAAAGACACAGAGAAAGGTCAAATAAGAGGAGGAGAAAGGAATCGTCTTTTGTTTGAGGTTAAACCAAGTTCACGAACAAAGCGAGTGCCAAGAGGATTAAAGAGTATTTGAATTGCAACGAGGAGTGAGGGAAGTCAAATCCATTTCACAGACAAACAGAAAACCGAACGATAAAAGGCAATGGCCAAAGGCAATTGTTTTTTTTTTTTGGCGGAGAGAGGAATGGGGGAGAATTTGCGCAAGGAGGAAATATCAAGTGGGAAACGGGGAGAACTGCAGTCTTTCCCGCAAAATAGTTCTTCTCTGGGCCTTCAATATCAATACTACTATTATTATCGCCGCCTGAAATCTCCAGAACAAGTGGGCGTCAGTTTATCAGCCCAGTTTCTGAGCAGGTGAACGTGTCAGCCAATTTGCGCACAGCAATGTCCCACAAACAGCTGGGAAGTAAATGACCCAGTTTAAATGGGAGTTTGCCGACCAGGACACCGAGGGACAGAGAGAGAAACTCCCTTCATTTTTTTTTTAAAAAAGGGTTGTGGGACACTGTTGCGCGCAATTGGCTGCCGCGTTTCACCCACAAGGTACACAAGTCAATTCACTTTACAGTATAATCTGTGAAGCGCTTTAAGACGTCTCAACGATGTAATAAGGCACTAAATCAAATGCAAGGATTATTATGATGATTAAATAGCACCGCGGGATCTTTAACCTCCACCTAAACAGGCACAGACTGGACCTTGGTTTAATATTGCATCCAAAGGAGGCAAAGAATCGTTCAAAAAAAAAAACTATTCTGACAAGTCAACAATAATAGCAGTACTTTTCCATACACACACACGTCCAGTTAGTGCTTTCTTGCCCGAAAACCTTGAAATGAATGAATGAGAATCAGTGTGAGCGACTCGCACAAGTGTAGCCAAAAAAAGAAAGCAAATTTCATCCGAAACTAGGTCTGAATTGTATTTTGTGTTGAACTCAGCAGATAGAATTGGGTGCTGTGTTGCTGTGTGTGTGCAAATGCAATAACGCCTGATATTAAAATAAAGGGCAAGACACATTCTGATTGTGACCTCGAATTCTGGTGTAACTGGGCGATGAATAAACATATGCCACACAGAGGAGACCTGACTGCATTCTAATTGGAGTAGGACCTTTGAAAAGCTCTTCAGTGGAAATGTGCAGTCAAAGGCAGCGAATCTGAATCTCCCCAGAATAATTGGGAGTCGTGTAGTGTTGTGGTTAGAGCTCGGATCGCAAGCGAGAGGATCCGTGTTTGATTCCTGAGCAGAATAGGGCAAAACCTTAGGCAAGTTTCCTTATTCCACACACACACACCTCTGTTTAGCAGCAGTCAGTAGGAACCCGGTTGTTAGTCAATTGGCAGATTACTTTTCCAGGGGGTAATAATCAAAAATCAAAAATACACTCAATTCCTGACTGTTTGTGGGACACTGCTGTGTGCAATCGACTACCGTATTTGGCCCACAAAATACAGTAACTACACTTGACAGTATATTCTGTGAAGCGCTTTGAGACGTCTCAACAACGCGATAAGGCGCTGTATCAAATGCAAGTTATTATAATGATTATTATGATAAATTCTCTTTCTGTTTAGCAAGGAACCGAGAGAGAACTAGTGATGGCACATGGCCAGGGATTTGACAGAGTGTTGATCAAAGTTAACAAAACTTCAGAATATTCATGTCAAGGCCATGGATGGAGTCAGAAAGATGAAATAACATCTGATGGATGAAATGAGTGGTAAGAATTGGTAGCTTCACTGGCTATCCATCCTCCAGAGGATCCTTTTAAGGTCTAAGTCCTCATTCTCAAGGCCCTCCATGGTCTTGCGCCTCCCTACCTCTTCAACATCCTAAAACATTACCAACCTGCCCGCTCCCTCTGCTCGACAGGCACTTGCCTGCTCCATGTCTCCTGCCTGCCTCAACCTTTCTGTCCCCACCCTCTGGAATTCGACCCCTTGCCTCTTTCAAGGCCCATCTCAAGACCTTCCTCTTTGACCGCACCTTCGGTCATCTTCCCACCTTCACCTCCCCTTGCACTCCACCCCTCTCGACTCCAATCCCCAGCTCAGGTGCAAACTTTTGACTGTCCAGCATCTTGGGGCATCCTCCCGACATGGAAGGCACTATATAAATGTGATTTGCTGTTGTTTTTGCTACTCCCAGTGATAGCAGAAGTGGTACTCTGTTAGCTGGGTCCAGCTCCAGTGTTAAAGCTCATTTACAGCTAATTTATTTGGAGGAGCCTTGAATAATTCAACATTGCATTCAATATTTATCACATCCAATGTGCCAGCGGTGGAAACACTCCATTCCCCCCCATCCCCACCCATTTTCAAAGACAATATCTGTTGGTCAGGACCACATAACTGGATTTATAGCTCAATAACATAGTTCTCTCTTTAATTGTGACAGACCCAAGTCCTAATAACAGGAACTTTCTGTCCAACTCCTTTCCCGTCGCCACACATCATCCCCTTTTGTAAAATATCCAGAGCGGTTACACAAATGGTGCACAACACTATCGTGAAAACCACATCATGCGTTTGCTGGAAGATTAACACGTCAGGTGTAACATTAAATATTTTTGATACAATCATGTCGAATCAGGCATGACCACACATGCGCGCTATTATAGCCTGGCTCTGCGGTATCACTCTTGACCATAATAATAATCCTTGCATTTGATATAGCGCCTTATTACATCTCCGAGACGTCTCAAAGCACTTCACAGAGTATACTGTAAAGTGGATTAACTGTGCGTTTTGTGGGTGAAACGCGGCAGCTAATTTAGACAATTATTACTTCAACAGATAAGACAGCAGTCCCGTGTAAATCAGAAATCTCCTTGTCCTGCAAAATGCTATCATTTCAGCACTTGTTGCAAGACACCATTCATTCCGTCCATTTTTCTTCCCCTTAAACGAGCACGCTGTTGTAACAGTTCTGCACACCAGGCCCTTAGGTTTACGTTTTCATTCAACCCACAGATGCACCCACACGGCGCAGGAGGACTGGTCATTTCCTGAATGCCATTGCCTGCCAAGCATATCAACACCAAAGGGATGATTGTCAGAGAAAGCGCGAGAGAGAAACAGTAAGAGAGAAAAGAGAGACATTCTCAATGGGTAAGCACAGTGATTGAATTCAGGAGGCAGTTTTTCACCCAAAGGCTAGTAGATATCTGGAACTCTCTCCCCCAAAAGGCTGTGGACGCTGGATCCATTCATATTTTCAAGACTGAGGTGGATAGATATTTGTTAGGTCAGGGTATCAAGGGCAAGGGTGGATAAGGTACAGATCAGCCATGAATTTATAGAACGGCGTAACAGACTCGAGGGACTGAATGGCCTCCTCCCATCTGTGAATCGCAAAAACCATTTTGTCCGCAAGATACAGCCGATCCACTTGACGGGGTATTCCGTGAAGCGCTGTTGAGGCGTCATCGAAGCCGTGATAAGGCGCGACATCCAGAACGCCAGGGTCGTTATTATTTAAAACAAAGGGAGGTTCGGTTCCGTCATACATTTTGGGAGAAATAACAGTAAGACGCACGGGAATGGGATAACTTCTCTCTCTCTCTCTTTTTTTCCCCCCAATAACCATATCCTGTAGCTCAGTGGTTAGAGCACTCACTTTGCAAGCGAGAGACCGGAGTTCAATTCCAGGCAGGGTAAAACCTTGGGCAAGTTTCCTTACTCCACACACCTAATGATAACCCCTCCAAAAAACAATACAGTAGTAAATTGGTCATTTTCAATCCGTGACTGTTTGTGGGACGTCGCTGTACGCAATTGGCTGCCGCGTTCGCCCACTTTGGGACGTCTCGAAGATGTGAAAAGCGCCATATCAAATGCAAGGATTATTATAATAATAATCCTCGCATTTGATATAGCGCTTTTCCCGTCGGAAGGACGTCCCAAAGCGCTTCACGGAACACACTGTAAAGTGAATTGACTGTACGTTTGTGGGCGAACGCGGCGGCCAATGGTGGATAGAAAATGACCAATTTTACGATCGCCTTTGGCTTTGGAGGGATTATTATTAGGGCTGTGCGTGGAGTAAGGAAACTCGCCCAAGGTTTGGCCCTGACCCCCCGGGGATCGATCTCGGGTCTCTCGCCGGCAAAGCGAGTGCTCTGACCGCTGAACCACAGGACTCCGCGATGATGATTATTATTATTATTATTTCGCTTTAACAACGTCGCGGCCCCTCTCGCAGGGCAGCGACCCAAAAGGGACGGTGCTGAAAAGAGTCAGGAGAGGTTTGGGTGGGGGGGGGGTGGGGGTGTGGGGGGGGATGGATGTGAATGGCAGTGACCATGTTATTTGGCTGTTGCTCACAGCTCAGCATTGCCCTCAATGAGAACACGACAGGACCTCGTGCGCATGCGTCCCCCCTCCAACCCTCTCACTCCCTCCCCCCCCGCCGGCGAGCGGAAGTCCCGCCCTCCAGCGCGGCGGGCGGAAGTCCCGCCCTCCAGGGCGGCGGGCGACCCGATTGGCGCGCGGGGGCCGTCGGCCGTCGACGTGGGGCCGTGACCCAATCAGCGCTCGCCGGAGCGGTGGGGGGGAGGGGGCGGAGGCGGCGAGTGGATGATCGACGTGGGGCGGCGGCCAACCGCCGCTCGCCGGGAGGGCGGGCCAGTCGACGATTGACGCGGGTGGCGGACCAATCACCAGCGGTGTCTTCGCCAACCCCCGCCCGCCCGCCTCCCCACTTCCGGCCGTCAACCGTGAGCGCCGAGCGGGGGTGTGAGGGAGGGATTGAGAGTGAGAACGAGCGACAGAGAGAGAGAGAGAGAGAGAAAGAAAGAAAGAAAGAAAGAGAGAGAGAGAGAGTGAGTGAGAGAGACCGCAGGCCCGCCCAGGAAGGAATTTATTTTTGTTTTTTTTAAAAAAAATATATATAATATAAAATAATAAGAGAAAGGAAAATAAGAGAGCGCGAGACATTACAATTAAAATTAAAGGGGTGGAAAAAAAAACCCCCACACACACACAGCCCCCGAAGCTGAGGTGAAAAGGATTCGCCAGAACATTCGAGGAGGGCGGCGGACGAGGTTTGGAAGAGGAGAAGAAGAAGAAGAAGAAAGGAAGGAAGGAAGGAAGAAGAGGAGGAAGGAGGAGGAGAAGAAAGGAGGAAGGAGGAGATGTCTGTACTGTGAGGGAGAGGAGGGGGGAAAAAAAAGGAAGAGGGGGAAGGAAAAAAAATCCCCCTGAAACCCGGGCGTCTCCTTCCCTCTCTTAACCCCCTCCCTTCCCTCCCTCCTCCCCTCCCCTTCCCCTCCCATCTTTTTTTAAAAAAATTTATATTTAATATACAATATATATATATAAAAAAACAACTTATTTCTCTTTAAACCCCACCACCACCACCTCCCCTCCCTCTCGCCTCGAACACACACACACACACACACTCGCTCATTCACATACACCCCCTCCTCTCTCCTCCCCTCCCCACCCCATCCCCCTCCCTCCCTCCCTCCCTCCTCTTCCCTCCACTCCCTTTCCTTCTGAACGCCGTCTTCACGTCCGCCTTCCTGTGAGGATTTTTTAAAAATATATACACACACAGACACAGACAGACACAGACACACACAGACATATAGATCGATCCAATATATATATATACACACACACACACACATATATATATAGAGAGAGAAGCCCAACCACTTTCCCGAGAATTACCTGCGGCTTCATGACTCTGGACTCGATCATGGCGTGTTGCCTGAGCGAGGAGGCGAAGGAGTCCAAACGGATCAACGCCGAGATCGAGAGGCAGTTGCGCAGAGACAAGCGGGACGCACGCAGGGAGCTCAAGCTGCTGCTCCTAGGTGAGGGCCCCGCGCCTTTTTCTCCCCCCCCCTCCTCCCTTCTCTCTCTCTCTCTCTCTCTCAATTTCCTCCTCCCTTCCCTCCCCAATTAATCTATCTATCTATCTATCTATCTATCTATCTATCTATCTATCTATCATTCTCGTGGCTTAATCACTCTCTTTTAATTACCCACCCGTTCGTTCCTTCGCTCTCCTCTCTCTCCCTCTCGCAGATGATTGTGGTTCTGGCTGAATCCATGTGTGTGTGTATGTATGTGTGTGTATGTATGTGTATGTGTGTGTATGTGTGTGTGTGTATGTATGTGTATGTGTGTGTATGTCCAGCCCAAGTCGGGTCAGTCTGTCCGGAGAAGGCAATACATTTATTAAAAGTAATCGTTATAATATCGGTGGTGATCACCACGATGCAGTTGATTGTCCGGGGTGGGGGGGGGGGTGTGGGGGGGAAAAGCTGAGCTCTTCTTTATTCATTTGTTGTTGTTGTTGTCTTGTTCACTCGATTCGTACCTTTTGTTTAAAGCTTTGGGGCTTAAATCATTATTGAAAGGGGGGGGGGGGGGGGGGGGTGTGGGGGGGGGGGGGGGAAACATATATACCCTCTGCCTTTTCCTCCTGTGTGATTTGATTTTTAAGAAAACTGCTGCTGGTAGATTTGAATAATAGGAGAGAAAATGGGGGGGAGTGGGGGGAGAATCCTTCCATTCTCCTCCCTCCCCCTGATCCCACAGGAATGTAAATCCCACCCTCCCAATATTTTCAGCAAATTTTCATTTTTTTTTGGCCATATGTATTGTAGTCGTACATTTGCCTTGTTGACACTTGAGTATTTTCTCCAGGAGGAGAGGGAGGGGACAACTAATCTAAGGAAAAGGCTTTGAAAGGCCTGGGAATACATACACTCACACACAGTACGATTCTGCAGTCAGCACTACTAAGTTAGATCTATCTTTGCTTTCTTCTGCACATTGTTTTTGCGAGAGGGAAATGCTTTAGGGGTATTAAGTTAATTGAATAAGTGACTTCCTCCATTTTTAAAACGAATTTGGAAAAAATAATAGGATATGTTTTCAATGTTAGTTTGTGGATGCCTCTCTTTCACTCCTTTGGCAAATACTGTACCACACACTACAGGGTACTTAGATTAAAGATGCTGTGGATTTTTAGATAATACTTAATTTTAAGTGGTCTATTCGAGTTCTATAGAATACATATTTTTATGTATTTACATATGTAAATGGCTGAGTTATGAATTTTATTTTCTTGTGTGACAGATGTTGAACTTTCTTTTGACATCTGGGGTCATGATATGTCATGGCGTTTAATGTGTTCCCCAAGATCTTGTTTTCTTTGATTAGCTAAAGAGCCTTTTTGGGGATGTGATGTGCAAGCGTCTGATGTCCTGATCAAATCAGATTCTACTGGAGGATTGTGACAATGTCACAATCTGACAAACAGCAATGTGTTTTAAGAACATTGTTCTTTTTTAGCTGGATAAAGTTTACATTTATCAGGTAAAAGCTAAAACTTGAGATGTCATGATATAGTTTAGTTGTATTCTTCTAAGCATTCTTCCTTAGTCGATTTATTAAAAGCGACATATCCTATCATAGAATTCTAATGAAGGGAAAACCAGATAATCCAATCATTACGAGTTGTCTATGTGATGTTATATTGGTGGCTAATGTGTGATGGTGTAGTGTTTCTGAACTGATTGTTGTCAACTACGAAGAGAAACCAAAAGTGATGTTGCTTTAGAACTGCACTACTTTGGCACGACTGCTGCATTAATACTTTTGACGCAAAAGGAGCCATGACGTTGGCAACATCGGGCCAACATCAGCATAAGTGAGATCATCTCCAAGAAGCAGTTTTGTTATATTTCATTATATGTAAGTGGTGCAATGCCCACATTTTTTTAAACTTGGCAAAAACAAAACTGGATCCGGCGGCTGAACATGTTCAGATCCTGGAAAAAGGCTGACTTGTCATGTTGGCTCTTCTCATTTGAAAGAAACTGTAATTTGAAGGAAACTGAAAAGTTTGGCCAATATGCGATAGTCTGTGTGAGATCTTTCCCCCTCTCAATATGAAAGATCTGTGGGACTGGCTTCCTGCTTGTAGTTCTACTGACATTCGGTCAGTCAAGTCTGGATTGTGCATATCCATATGTATACAAGGAGATTTTGAAGACTTTGAGACCTTTGTTCAGTACAAATAATGTCAGTACTTTGAAGTAAAGTAAAAGTGTTGATTTGATGATATTGTGATCATAAAATATTAAATGTTTTCAGTTGGTAGTCTTTGACATTTGTTTGTTGTGGTAATGGCTGTAGCAATAAATGAGAACTGTCCAACCTTTCACAGGTTTGAAGTTACATATACTTGTGTATTTCTTCCCAATCCTCTTTTTGTAGCTGTGATATGGAATCCATCCTGGTTGAGGGGTTGGATCACAATTTCATCTACTGCCAGTACAGTTCTGTGAAGGATTGACATAAGGGACATGGTGATGATGTCCCCTAGCATTTCCTTTAGTTTTTCACCTTTATCTGGAAGTGCTTAGACTTTGCTTGAGGCCTCTTAACTGATGACATGACTAAGGCCCATTGTGCAAGGAATTCAATGTAACTTGCACCCTTGTCCACAAGAAGTTGGGAGTTTACTTCCTCTCCTTGGATTTTTAAAAAAAAAGAATGCCAATAGGCTATTTGATTTGCCATTTGCTCACATTCTTGGAACCCCCTGAGACTTTCATTTTATTTTGTAGACCTGTTTACAAGTATTCATAACATGGTTATCTAGATTGAGTATTAAAATAAGTCTAGGATACACCACAGGTTCTCATTGGATGCAGTTCATATACAATAAGCAAATTGATTTAACCATTGCAAATGTGGTTAACTTTTGAGTTCATAAGCTATGATGAAATCCTATCCAGCATTAGCATGTGGTATTTCCACTTGTAGATATGTCTAATCGTACTTTGACTACTGGTGGGAAAAGGTGTGTATTGTGAAATAGCTTTGTTTCATAATTTTTGCTCTTTGCATATTTGATTCAGCATTATCGATGATATTATCAAAACAATTCATGGGAGGGAGGAGATTTTTGCTTAATACAGAGAGAGATATGTGTACTGTTTCTTTTAATTTGTTCTCCAACTGTTTTCTTGGTCTTTGTCCTTCTACCTTGTGTACTATTCTGAAACTAAGAGGATATTCAGTAGACCTGCTTTCCATTCAGATTGACTTGGTCTTCTGCTTTATCCTCTGGGATAGCTCTAGCCTTGCCAGCTGACACCCTGGCATTATAAAACCACTATGCATGGAATCACAGTACATAAATGTACTGTGCATTTGGATGTGTTTTTTTTATTTAAAAGCTGCTCGTTGACTAAAATACTTTCAAGACTTTGTTCTTGATCTTTGCAGTGAATTTCCCTTTCTGCGTTGCTATGTGTACCTCAACCAGTGAAATGGTTAACATTAATACTGGAGTAATAATTATTATGCCGGTGTGACAATTTGGGGCTGGGTGATATAGTGGATTAGTGCATTATTCTTTCACTCCCAGGAATCTGGGTTTGAATGTACCTCATATGGATTTTTTTAAAGTCTTCTCCGTTAGACAGTTGATTGCCCTCCATGAAATGTGGTTAGGTAGACTCAACCCATTTCTTTTAAAATACAGTATTTGTTCATTATACTGTGTTGCCCCATAAATTGTTACTCAACTGCTAATCTTGGGGTGGTAGGAAATGACTCGTGAGGAAGTGGACCAATTTACACTCGTCTTCTGAGGATAAACATTAAGATGCATTGTCGAAGCAGTCGAGAGCAAACTTCACTATGCATCTAATTGTGCTCTGGCTGACCTGAGAATGCTTAATGTTGACACTGGTGCCAAAGTAGAAAAATGTTCTGTTCTCAGCATTGACATCTCTCACTTACAGCACAAAAGAACAAAAACAGTTCCTTTTTTTCAGATAGCTGTCCAAGTGGTGAAAAATTGTCCTTATTTAGATTTGATTTGGATTGGTAGGCATCTTCATTGTTAGCAATGACTTTGGTATTTAGATATTTCACTTGTTTCATCTTCAGATGGTAGAAAAATATGATCATTGAGTTTTGGTCATATTAGAATTTTGATGTCTCGTTACAAAAGCATGCAAGTAAGCTAGAAAATGCCAAATGCATGCAATTTAAGCAGTGCAGGTCTTTATGATCACTTTCACTGTATCTCAAACACTGATTATGATTTTAATGCGTTGTGATAGGTGGGGCGTGTCATTAATAAAAGTTCACATTATCTTTTGAATTATTGATGTTTTCTTGCTGTGATTCAGAGCATGTTAGAGGGAAAAGGAAAATATGAGCGTGGTTTTATTCCATCATTAATTTTTGAATGTATTTTTCTGTGCATGTTTTTTTTCCCGGGAGAACCTCATTTGAGTGGTTATGCTTCATGTGTGACTTTTAGGAGTTTTAGTAGGCCAGTTGCCTCCAGGATATATCATAGCTGAGCCTGAATCTTTCTTCACCTGATATCTATTCTTGTGAATTTTTCATTTGAGGGTGGGGAGGGGGAAGAGAGAGGGAAGCGCTGGGTAGCGATTAGTGATGGAAATACTGGCTAATCTTTTCACCTCCTTAGATTATTGCCGGTTGCTACTTCAGATGAGATCAGCTGACTCAGCAAAACCAGGAATTGAACCTGGAACCTTCTTGGTTGGGTGACTCAAAACGTTTCACTCAGTCCAGTGGCTTTACCACCCCAGATACCGAGAGAGGTTTATTTTTAAAATACTTTCATCACACAGGAAAGTTATTATTTTCTTTTTGCTCACATATAAATATATATAGTCAAGTCACTTCACAGTATATTCTATGAAATGCTTTGAGACATGTCGTAGACGTGATACAGCGCTATATCAAATGCAAGGATTTTTTTTATTATTTGAGCCTTTACAGCAAGATTTCATTTATTTTCATCTATAGA